TTGAAAAATTTATTAATATCAGTTAGCTTTTCAGTGTTTCTCGAGTCATTTCTACACTGCATTGCCTAAGTGAATTTTGTCCACAAAATATACATAATGACCGCAGCGCGAATGGGTTGAGCATCCGTTGCTACTACCCCCACCAATTCTTGGAATTGGACGTATCTCGTTCTACACTATCCTACCATACGATCTGCCCAGAAACACGACACTTGCACGATAGAAAGCAAGTGATGCCTAATACCGATATTTCGGTGCCGATTCGCAGAGTACACCTCCCCACCTAAGCGTCCGCCCTGGATCCCGATTATGGACTACTCAAGTGAGGACTGCCGTGAATCTCTCAAGACAAAGGATATCATATCTATCGTTTTATCAACAAAGATAAAAAGAAAAAGAAAATCAACGATAACAACGTAATCTCGTTATCGCGTTATCTAGGCGCCCGACAGTCGTCGTTTTACCGTGTAATCGTCAAGTATCTCCGAGTTCAACAACGCGACCACTCGCACATCCTTCAGATGGACCTGCACGTTCACGTCACCAGTTTGTCGTTGATCGTAGGTCGTCGAGGCCGGCAAGGACAGACCACCAGTCGCGAAATGACAAGCGACGAAGACGAGGAGGAGGTTGCAACGGGGCGCGTGCATGACGAGGAAAAATGCGCGAGGATCGTCGACGGGATCGAGACTGACCGGGGTCCGGTTGAAAGACGTCGCGTTATACCGATGCTCTACCTTGATATAGTGCTCGGGTACGTCAGAGGAACCGGTATTCTTTGTCGTCGAACGGTCACGGGAGCCTCGGAGTACGGTGGCCGGCCATTGGCCCTCGTCCTCTACCGACACGACGCCTACGTTTATGTGCGCGTGTGTGCGTGCGTTGTGTAAGGAACGCGTGCACGCGCGGAGGATGCAGAGCGATTACAATTTAAATACCGAAACGCTACTGTAAATCTGTGAACTTCTCTCCCACGGGGCCCGGTAGCGTGAACGCCGTGTGAATAACAACTAGGCGAGGATCGTTCTGCAGTGAACGGTGAGATTCCTTTTCATCCAGACGAATTTGACCGAGATTTAAGTAAATAATTAATTTTTTGTAAATTTTTTAATTTAAGTAAATAAATAAATTTTCTGAAATAATATCCTTTGGCAAACAACAGATCTCGACTGATGATATGTAACTCATTTGGCCGATCAAAGGAAGTTGAAGTTGATGCAAATAATTGGGAAAATGATAAATCGAAGGGCTGATTTTTGATTGGAGGAAATAATATTTCTTTGACAAATGGAAATTTGCTGTTTAAAATAACATTCAAGATAAGTATCGGTGAAACCAAAATAAAATCAAATGAACAAGAGAATAATCAATAAGAAAATCAAAGTAATTTTTATTAGCGTTATCACAGCAGAAATTTGTCTTTTAATAGAAATGAACAAAATTTGGGGATCCCTGTTAAAATTGCAAATAAGAATAGTATCTCTCTACTAATGATGAAGACGCGAGAGGAATATTTATTGATTTCTGGTTAGACGGCCACTATACGTACACGAACTCGCAGCTGTTTGCCGCAGTTCCTTGAAACAGGAACGCTACGCGAATCCTTGCGAACTTGCATAGCTTAATCTCTGCTCGATAATGATTTCATTACGTAACACCGTCTCGAATAATCGCGCTCGTTTCACGTGTTTGTTTTACGTTAGAGACCTGATTGAAACTGATTTCGAATA